ATCTTCTGCACCAAAGATACCATGTTCCCCAATGCCCGGAAAGCAGTACATCATGTTTTCACTTAAAATTTGCAGTACTATGTAATTGCTGCTTCACATGATCTGATCCCACAGACCTCTTGATTTGAACTACAGCTGCTTGACAACAGCAGCTACACTGTACAGCATAGCAAAACCACTGAATTACCTGAGCCAGCCTTACCTTTCTAATGATGTTGGAAATCAATGGAATCAGGTTTGAGCATTTTGCAAGGGAAATATTCATTGGAAATTTTTTATGGACTGCATGTCACTCACTAGATGTACCATTTCTTATTTTCCTGCTAATTTCTTTTCACATATGCTCATGAGCATTAGCTTCTGAATTCTTTTCCTCAGCCTCCATTTGCAGCTATTGCCATATCTTTCCTAAGAGGTGGCACCCAAAACTGAACACGGTCCTCCAAATTCAAATGCTCCATTGTTCAGGATTCTGTCATTATATTATCTTCTGCATTATTTTTATATCCTCTTATTAATGCACCCACACACCCCATTTGCATTTTTTAACCTTTTTAAAAACGTTTTCATTACAACAATCAGATATAAGGGCAATGAAGTAAGTGTGGAACAATAGAAGTGAAGATTTTGATCCTCCTCAGACCTAAACCTGTTCTAAACTTCAGTGGTGACACTGACTTTGATTTACACTAAAAGGAAAGAGGAAGGATCAGGCTGTGCATGTCTACAGTGGGACATCAAATTTTGACAGTTAATAAGGGACACTTTTGTAAAATAGTTTCAGAATACAACATGTTGTTTGGGAAAAGCACATTTTCTTTTATCAGAAGGCAGATAGAGGTCTGTGCTGTGGGCTGGAGGCTGAAGAGCAGTGCTGGAGCCTGGATGCTGGCAGTGGTGTTGGTGGCTGCGGGAAGCAGTGTGGGGTGCCCGCTTGTTGATTGTGGGACTGTCCTGCACAGGCACTAGGATTCCCTCATTTAACCTCATAGCAGGACTAGGCAGCACATCCTTCATTTTAGGAATAGATTTAGCCTTTCTAAACTGTTAGCTTCTGCACAGCCATGTCTGATACTGACTAGTTGTGGAGAGTGTATCAAAGGCAGGGCACCCCAGCTGGCTGCAGGGGAATGTGTGGAATCTTAGAGAGGAAGAGCCGATAAGGGAAGGTTGGAGGTAGCCAGAGGCAGAGCTACTCTGCCATATGCATGCTGCCACCATAGCCCATGGAACCATTGCCACCACACCAAGCCACACTTGGGACTTCCACTCAGAAGAGATGGACAACCAGTTTTAAGCTGCAGATGGGAAAGGTGATTTCTATTATACAAATGAGTATTTGTGGGTTGTCTGGCCACAGAAGCCAAGTGTGTGACTCAGAAAACCACCTGAATAACAATGCTGCTAGCCAGGGAGAAGAAAAAAGTGGAAGAAGTCCATAAAGCAATCATTCATGTCTTGCTCCCTGGCAGACTGCACCTCAGCAGCCTCTTCAATGTCTTTTGTCCTCCGTTAATTGCTTCTGCTTTACTTGACTCTGGATTTTCTCCAGGAGCCACTGTTAAAAGTTAGTATCTGGTGGATGTCAGTGATATTGTCTCTGGAGGGACTTTTCCCCACACTGTTGTTTGATTCCAGGCAATGCAGTGAGCTACAAATGCCTTCAGTCTTCTCTTGTGTGCCCCAATTAAGGCCATACTTTACCTGCCCAGTTAGGCAAAGTTCGTAAACATGGGGTGTGGTTTTACAATTCAGCTAATTAGATCCAATGACTAAGTGCTAGTCTGGGTCGAGAGTTTGCTCCTCCTGTCAGCAGCTTCATGTTCCTGCTCTAGCTGCAGATTCTGCTGCTTGATGGATTCTTGCTGATGCAATCCAGGACAATGACCCAGCAGAAACGGTTAACTTTTTTTTTCTTCTTTTTTTTTTTTTTTGACCCAGATTTTTATTCTGCCTAAAAAAGAACACATCTTTCACATACTGTGAGTCAATAGAAAATTTTTTTTTTCTTTTTTTTTTTTTTTTTTTTTTTTCTTGGATTAATTTTCTGCCAGTCTCATATCCTCTGATGGCTTGCCAAGGTAAGATGAGGATTCTTGCTGGCACAGGAAAGGACACAGGGTTGCTCACGAGAAACAGAGTAATATAGAAGCATTACTTTAATATGGTTGCTCAGCTGATTGGTTGTAAATCCACATCTTTGCAGCTTCCTATCTGGCTTGCACAGATCAACCACAAGTGCCATCAAATGAGGAGACTTTTCTTACTCCTTTTCCATGACTAGCAAGATCTATTCACAGGATTGTTATTCTCATTCTTTCAGATAATTTCAAAGACAAGAAGTGTTAATGGAAGCAATGGAAACTCAGTAGAGAAGAGGGGAAATCAAGGGATGCAGCAAGAAATGGGATAGGAAATGGGATACTGCTGTCAGAGATGACAGCAGTAGCAAAATGTAGTTGTAAAATCATTTGCTTGGGTACTTGCAGCAGCTGCAGGTGCTGCCTCTCAGCCAGCCAGGGCACAGCTGGGAGAAGGGGTACTGCCATCCCTTTCTTCCTCAGGTGTGACCTTGGGCTTGTACTCTCCTCCCTGTTCTTGGTTCCCCCCAGTAGCTCCAAGCCTGCAGCTGCTGGGATAGTTTGGCCTTGGAACACATCCACAGAGGCTCTGGGAGCTGCACCTGAATGCATCAGCATGTCATTCCTGCATTCCTGCCTGGGCACTCCTGAGTTAACCCATTTCTTATCCAGAAAGAACATGTTGATGGATTGGAGGTGTGTGAAGACAAAATAGATTATCACAGCACCATCAGGTGTTGGTTATATCAATTTTGTGGTTTCTTTGGGCAAACTTTCCCAGAGCTCAATACTCTGAGGAAAAGCATTGGGAGTCTACATACTGCAACCAGAGGAACTTTGCCTTCCTCAGCACCAGGGGAGCAGAGGACCAAGAAATAAGACAGCATGCTGAACTGTATAGAACCAACAGCTGTGCCACAGTGTGGCAACCCATGCAGGTAGCAACATGCTGCTTAATTACTATGATAATGTAAAAGTCTTTCCCTGTTGTTTGTCTGGCTCCCATGGAACCTCCCCTTATACGCAAAATAGGTTTGCTATTTAAATGTGAGCTTGTGTTTATATGCCAGCTGATAGCTTTTCCTGGGGAACCAAGACAGCTGACATTGCTGCCAACATAAGTAATTTTGCAGGTTGGAGATTAGCTGGTAAGAGTGTGGTGAGCCTCCCTTTTGTCTAATCCAATAGGAGTGCTTTTTTTCTGTTTTTTTTTTTTTTTTGACGTGACTTCCAGAAGACACAGAGTAAAAAAGGTATTTTTTCTTTTCCTTTTTTTTCTTTTCATAACTGTGGACATTGCTAGGAACTAAAAAGATAAATACAACATTTTGTAGATTCAAATAGGAATGCAGTTTGTATATTCCCCCACCAAATATATTTTAAGAAAAATACTGCTGCTTCATGTGATTCCTCTCTCTTGCTAAGAAAACCTCCACTTTAAGGCACAGGAACTACTGCCAAGATGAGCCACAACAGTTTGAAAGCAGACCCTGATTGATTGTTTAGGAAAGCATGTACTGGGGTGATGGAAAATCCCTGTGTAAATGTGGTATGACGTTTTTACCACAAGAGAAACTTTCTGTTTCTAGTGTGGTTAAAAAGTTTTGTTCAATTGGCTGCTGGACTAAAGTAATTCCAGTCTTGTGTCTTTGTCAGTTTTGAATTCTGAATGTTTGAGTTTGTTTAAGGTTTATTGTTTGACAGCTTTTGCTGATAAAATCTTTCTGACTTTACATAGAGGGTGATTTAGTAGACTAAATAAATGTGTGTTTCTTGGCTTGTTAAGAAATTCCACAGCCTAGATTTAGTGTAGGGTCTGGTCTAAGGGCATAAGCAGGCTGGAGATGGAGCACTCTGATGCTGGGCTTTGGCAGAAATAGGCACAGTCATGCTGTTTAGAAGGGAGGGAAACTTCCATGCAGGAGTGCACTGTGCAGCAATTATTCTAGAAGCAAACTGGATCTTCTATTTCTTAGCCCTATACAACTGGAATATGATGACTTCTGGGATCCCTCTATGCAATTTCCCAAGGGAAATTACTTATTTCTCTTTAAGTGATACAAGGAGTATGTTTTGGCATAATGCTTGGTTGACATTATACATTTGGAAAACACTGTAAGTCCAGGTCTGATGCTGAGTAGAAAATGACCAGTCCTGGGTTTTGTGCTTGCCTTGAAAAGGAGAATTTTAGTTGAGTTTTGCACTTGACTCTATCAGGGTTTTTTGATTGTGTATTTTTCCCCCAGACTCTCCCTTAATGAGTTGGATAGTTCTTTTGGGATCTATCTGAAATCATTCAAGAGCAAGCTACCTGCTCCACAGAGCATAGAGCTCTCTGACAGGGACCAAGGGATCAAATTCAGCATATTACCTCATTTCTCTTGGTTTGTTTTAAAGACATGCTGTCATTTCAGCTTGGTTCTGATCATGTTCAGAACAGGTTTTTACAGAAGCTGAGGCCAGTGGAAATGTTATGCTTTTTACTCACTTTTCTTGGAGAGGATTAAAGCAAATAAACATGCAATGGCTCATCCTGCTCCAAGTCTGTGTGAGCTGCCTTGAAGGACAGAAGTGGAAGGAACAAGTACCCTCTTCTGGTGTCTACCAGGACCTTTTCCTTTCTGCCACTTGGGCTACTTCCAGGGACTAAATCCACCATAGATTCACTTGTTGACAACTGTTATTTCTTTTGACTCTTCTGGTGTGCTGGAAACAGGCTCTGCTTTGGAAATCATTACTGCTGTGTAACTTGCAAATGATGAGTAATGGCTTCCTCCAGTTTAACTCCCTCTTCTCTTACTGTTTGCAGTGTGCTCATCTTTCCCTGTCTGCCCAGTCCTGCCCAGAGGTAAGGTACTGGATCTCAGTGCAGAAGCTTCCCTTGTGCCTTGGAGAGGAATTGCAGGTAAACATCAGCCTCCCTGAACATGATACTTTGCAAGGATAAACCTGGAAAATAAATTAAAGACTCCAGGAAACACCAAAACACAGTAGGGGATATTGGCTTAATGGCTACATGATAAATTACCCTTCTCCTCACTAGTACCTCTGTCATCCAGAAAGAGGTAACTGGCTATGTTCTTTTCTCTTAAGAAAAAAATTACTACATCCAGTTCCCCTTTCTTACTCCTATAGTTCATGAAAGTACAGCTAATTCTCTCTCCAAGGTTGTTGAGTTGATACTGGTCTGAGCGATTTTTGTCTTCATGTTACAGCTCAGCTCTCCAGTCTCTTGCTTCTGTTTCAAGCCTTTGTATTCCTAAAAGCTTATATTTTTTTTTTTTCCAATTTAGCTCTTAGTGTTTCAAAAGATGTTGCTGTGATCTTTGTCTTGCCCATGTCCTTGGGGTGTCCTGGCTGCAACACTGTTTTCTTCCTTGCAGGTCAGCCAGTGCTATTTCAGTGAGGTTTAGGAACCCTGTAGCATCATGGACACCCTGGCAATGTAGCCTTGGGAGGATTAGCATGTGTGATTTGAATTCCTGCAGTCCTGGAGTATGAACATTGGAACACTCTTTGTATGGCTGTCCAATCAATGATTTGCCATTTTTGCTTCTTTTTTATTCAGAAGAGTCTAGTTGGTGGGCATGCCTCTGAATACAGGTTGGGGTCAAAAGAAAAATCAATTGCTTTCAGTTGATTGGACAAATAACTAAAGCAGCACTATTTTGCTTTCTTTTAATATATATATAATGAACTTAAAGCTTATTTAAATATCCTACATTTTTGATTCTGTGTGAAACTCACACTGTTATGACTCAAGCTCTGCATAAAAATCCACAAGGAAGAACATAGAAAAAGCTAAATACTGACTTTGTGTGTTTAAAAAAGGATGGAAAAGTTTCTTTGCAGGTGGATATATAGTATGTATATATATACATACAGCCATAATACCCACACTGTGTGTGGGGAATGTATGTACAAGTTTACATACACACACAAACACTCGCACAGTATCTCTGGTCTCTGGATAGATGGAAATGTCACTTGATTCCAGTACTTTCCTTGATTATAGTTGCTGTGTCCAGGAACCTCAGGCTTGTTTCTATGGCAGCTATTCCCAGTTCAGCTATTTGCTCAATCCCCATTTGGCAGTAAGTGGAAGATGTTGTGGCACTTCACAGTGAGCACGTCTCAGAGGGGCTGAGAATGGGTGCAGAGCTGTGTGCAGGTGACAGGCTCAGACAGGAGGGACTCGTGTGCAGCAGGCTGCAGCATGGCCTCCTGTGGCACTGGTCTCGGCTTGCATTCAAGGGCTTCACGGACCAGCCCAGATTTCTCTCTCTCTCTCCTTGTTCTTCTTAATTTTTTTTCCCTTTGTTTTCCTTCCCTGTTGCCCTGCTCTGAAGCAGGACTGCAAGATCAGGATGGCATAATGAGCAGGAACACTAGGGAACCTGTGCTGCACTAGACAGGCTGACTAATCTCCCTTTAAATAATCTCCCTTTAAATAGTCTGGAAGCACACTGGCGAGTTTCTCTTTCAGGAGCCATAAATAGCCAGATCCATGCTGGTAAGTAGCAAACAGCACAGTTATTTGTTCTAGGAAGGTCTTCCTATTTCCTTCATGTTATTGCATGGATAGCTGTGATCCAGTTCTCTGTAACACTCTGTATGGTAGCAGTGCTGCTGCCTGTCCTCACACTGCTGTATCTTCTGTGACAGTGAGGAGGGAGCAGCTGCTCCTGGGAAATTGACTTCCCTTTCCAGTGCCTTTGGATCGGAGTGGCAGTGGGGCTGGGGCTTGCTGTGGTCTGTACAGCTGGCTTTAGGTAGAGCAGTGCAGTTCAGACCCTTCTGAGCAGTGCTGAGTTCAAAACTCTCACTGATATTTATAGCACCTGGAACGTGAAAGCAAGGAATATTTGAACTCTTGCTGCCTAGCTATGGATTTGGATAGAGTGGAATATACAGTCCTGTGAGCTAGCTAGCCTTGTGCTTCAGACTTGTCTGGAGGATAAACTCGGTTTATCTGTGTTTTCCTAACTCAGAAATAAATGCTGTTTAAAAAAAATTATCAAGTTTATGTTAGTTAGGCTGGCTAATATAGTTTTCTTAAAGATGGAAGATTGCAAACCATTCTCCAGGTAGGTACAAGTACTCTTCAGCTGCCTCCATATGATCCTGAATTATCAAGGCAGCCTTCAAGAACATCAGGAGCTAATCCATGTCCAGTAGCTGCTATAGCACTTTCCGAGATTTTGGTAAATAGGAGAATCCTCAACGAAGAGGGCAGCAAGTCTTGCCTCAGCGAGGTAGGAGGTATTTGAATTTCTTACTCATAGTGTATTGTCATCTTCTTCCTGCTATCCTACCCACTCAATGCGTCAGAGATCTAAGGCTTGATTTTTTAATATTTATTTTTCTTTTTTTTTTCTTCCCCACCTTCTCTGCTGAGCATGGAATATCCAAGCCTTCAGTTTCTGGTGTATCATGTGAGAATTTTTCTTTTCCTTTTATTTTTTTTTTTTTTTTTTTCTTTTTTTTTTTTTTTTTTTTTTCCTTTTTTTTTTTTTTTTTTTTCTTTCTTATTTTTCTCCCATCTGCTGAGACACAATTCCCTTAATCTACTGGCTTTTTTACTGAGGTGAGTTGGCTCACTGGTGCAAGACAACAGAGGGCCAAATAGGTCTGAGGAGGGGAAGAGAAGATATGTGGGGGCATAGCACAGACCAGTTACACAGAAGCAGCTTCCCTAAATTGTCTTTCATGTTTGCTTTCCTTCATAACATTGCTGTTAAATCACTGTAGAGAGGACAAGGTTTCTGCCTGGTGACATCCCAAGTGATGTAACACTGTTCAGACTGTTTTTTGATCTTATGGAAGGAGGGGTGTTCTTTTCCTTTCCTTATTCATGCTCAGTGCTTGCCATCCTCAAACTGGGGCACACCCGGGGCCAGGGATTGCCTCAGTGTGTCATTTATGTGGGAATTTAAGCTCATATTTGGCAAAGTGGAAGTTCTGTGCCAAATTTTGGATACAACCTCAACAGAGAAATGAATGGTCTTCTGAGAGAAACTAAAATGTCTTATTATCAACAGTCTTCTGAATTATAGAGTAAACAAGACAAAAAAAACAACAACAAAACAAAACAAAAAAAAACCCACAAAAGCCCAGCCTATTCATTTAATTAAAAAGACAAAACAAACCACAGCTTTTTAATTAACTGTATTTGGTGTACTTACCTTGCAACACTCCAGTCAGACCAACCAGGCTGTTCCTGGGGTAAGTTTGGCCTGAGATCCAGGTACTATGTTATGCCTAGGTTCTCTTTGGAAAAGCAGAAGGAAAATACAAAGCTGCACGTATGTTTCATTGCCCAACAAGTCCCACTGAGCAGAGGGAGCAAAAAGCAGTGGAATCTGCCCTATGACACTTTGCTGGGTCAAAATGCAGTGTGCTTTTGTCCTCTTCCCCCTAGCACAATGGCTGCTGCATTCCCTGTCCTGGAGCAAGAAACTTTATTCCGGAATGGTACCTGGAGCTACCGAATTCCAGCCCTGCTCTACCTGCCACGGTTCAGCATGATCCTGGCCTTTGCTGAGGAACGAGAGGACCTGGTGGATGAACATGCCAAGCTGATAGCCATGCGCAGAGGCATGTATGACCCAGCCACGCAGCACGTTCAGGTACCAGTGGAGGGAGGAAGCAGGGGACACTGCCCCCTGTTCTGCCCACCTGCCCCCACTGAGTGGAATATATTTGCCCTCTTGCTGTAGGGACGGGGCAGCTTCTCCTCCCCAGGTACATGACACAAATCTGCCTATAAATAATGCAACTTTTGTTATAACTACTGGGATTCAACCCTATGGGCAGCTGTTGGAGTAACTAAAATGGAGTAAATATTCTAGGGGTGGCTTTGACCCATCATTGCAGAGCTGGGGATGCAGATACAGAGATGGGACAAAAGTCCTGTTGTAGTAGGAAAAATGTGGTGGAGAAACAGAAATGCCTCAAGGAAGAGGAAGAAATGCCACAACCATGGAGAGGAATAAATTAGTGATCAGTGACTATTCTTTTTTTTTTTTTAATTCATCACTTTAGGACTAATTTCTGGTTTAAAAAACAATTGAGAATAGCTAGTCTCTCCATGCAAAAAAAATGTCTGGTTTGCTGGTGCCAGTGAATTGCTTACCTTATTAACCTATCAGTTATTATTAACACTTATGCTGCCGGGTGTCTGGGAGTGGTGGAAACTCTATTTATAATAATTTTTCGCATAGGCAAAGGCATGAATGTCTTGGGGAAAAAAAAAAGTAATTATATTTTTCTATTCAAACCTTCATTGGTTGTCTTAGATTATAGGCTCTGAATGAGCTGGAGTCTGCCTAGCAGAAGCAGCCTCTGAGCCCACTTGCAGTGTCATACCATTCAGGTAACATCTTGTGTAACTCCCAGTAAGTGGTGTTTAGTTGGTCATAAACTTAGTAATTTGTGTTCATATGCTAGAGTTTCTGAAAATGGAAATACTAAATATTCAATAAAAGTTAATATTAGTTGGATAGAAAAAGATATGAAAAAAAGGCTAATCAGCAAATCAGGGCAGAAAAGCTAATTAATATAATCTTACTGAAAACTACTGCTTTGCTTACCAAGCCAATAACACTATGTAGTCATAGTTTTCTAATTGCAATGCTAGTGTTAGAAACATGATTGCATTATATGCTATTCATTTGAAGAAAACAGGGCTTGCTGGGTAGTTATACCAGCTCTGCGACCTATTTTCTGACTCAGACAGGTCAGAGTCCAAATCTTCACACCAGTCACATAATCAACCCTACAAAGGTGCCTCAGTAGAGGCTGGGTTGCCCATTCACATACATTCACATCAAAGTGGAGGAACAGGAGCCTGAATGAACAGGGATTTGTCATCATCCAGGATGCTTGAAAAGGGCTTGGGTTTCTCTGTGACTTCCTAAAAAACATTGACACAGCACAGTGCCTGTACTAGCACACTTTGACCATCGGGCATGTCTGCGTGCCATATATATATTTGTGAGGATTTCTGAAAATTTAGCCACTGTAGCTTTTTAAAGGTGTCATCAGCCACCAGCTGCATTGAGATATGGAGCTACAGTTCCTCAGGGAGTGGTATGGAAAAGGACATAACCCACATGCTTGGTGAAGTGTACGTGCTTCGCATCATTGAAATAATTTTCACTTGCCTTTGGCAATGCCAGATTATTCTCTTCTCATTTCTTGCTCTATCTATTGCCCTGCTTCTGTTCTTCCTATGCTCTTCTGTAGCTTTTATCCAGACATTCTTACACCATAATGTATGTCTCTTTGTAACAGTGTGTTCCATTCTTGTCTCCCTTCACACGGGCTGTGACAGTGGAAAAGGATGGAGACTCTTGTCAGTGCACAGCTTGAAGGCCACCGATCTATGAACCCCTGCCCAGTATATGATGAAGTCTCGGGGAAACTCATCTTGTTCTTCATAGCCGTCCCAGGAAAGATCTCTGAGCAGCATCAGCTGAGGACAAAAATCAACCTGGTACGTCTCTGCTATGTCACTAGCATGGACCAAGGACGCACCTGGAGCACTGCCCAGGATGTCACTGACAGGACCATTAGGAATGAATACAAGAACTGGGCCACATTTGCAGTGGGGCCAGGTCATGGATTACAATTGCTCAATGAGGCCCGGAGCCTTGTGATTCCTGCCTATGCCTACCGTATCTTGGACCCCAAGAAACACCCCACCCCTCATGCCTTCTGCTTCATCAGCTCTGACCATGGGATAACATGGGAGAAGGGAAACTTTGTGGGGGAGGAGAGTGCAGTGGAGTGCCAGGTAGCAGAGGTTCATACCTGTGGCAGAAAGGTCCTTTACTGTAATGCAAGGAGCAACAGGGGAGCCAGGATCCAGGCTGTCAGCTACAACCATGGGCTGGACTTTGAGGGAGGCCAGCGGGTTGAAATGCTAATAGAACCTCCCTCGGGATGCCATGGAAGTGTAACTGCCTTTCCACCTCCCCTGGATACCAGGTGTCAAGATAGTTGGTTACTCTATGCTCATCCTACAGACCCAAGGGGTCGAAAAGATTTAGGAATTTACCTCAACAAAAGCCCTTTAAATCCAGCACACTGGACAAAACCCAGCATACTCTTCAAGGGCCTGTGTGCTTATTCAGATCTGCAGTACATGGGTGTTGGGCCCGATGGCTCACCTTTGTTCTCCTGCCTCTTTGAATATGGGACTCACAGACAATGTGAAGAGATTATTTTTGTCATGTTCACCTTGAAGCAAGCCTTTCCTTCAGAACACTGAGTCTCAAGCCTTTCCATCATCATCCTTCAGAAAACCATCTTTGCTGATGCTTTTTATTGTCATTTCTCATCCCTTAGCAAAAGGATTTTTTTTACTCCTGCTGCACACATAGTTTGGTGTTGGCTTGTTGTGTCTGTAGATTGTGAAGTCCATTAAACATACCACAACTTAACACATTTGGTTTTGTTTTCTATTGCCTGTTCTCCTTTTTTTTTTTTTTTTTTTTTTTTTTTTTTTTTTTTTTTTTTTTTTTTTTTTTTTTTTCTCTTTGGCTGCTTTTTTACACATCATGTGCCCAAAACAAGTGTGACCTTTGTATAAGGCTTCTCATCTTAAGGTCTCTGATAGACTTCATCAGGGACACGTGTGCTGACAGCGCAGGGACTGCAAGGGAACAAATGACAGCAGGGTTGTGCTGAATGGTATTTAGTAAGTTCTGGAAAAACTTCTAGAGAGGGCACTGGGCTTTCTACTCTATGTCTACTGTCATCTTCCTCAGGAAGCTGCTTTTGCTTTGGTAAGGAGCACTGCTTCTTGCAGCCAGTGTAGGAATGCAGGCACCTGTAATTTCCAGGGCTTTCTGTTTTCTTATTTCAGCAAGGCCATGTGATCCCTTGCTCCTGGGATATTCCATACCAACTTCTTCAGTGGTTTTGGGGCTGCCTTGTTGAGTTCCCAGGCACCCCAGAGGCTTCTGCCTAACTTAACCTTTTCCTTGCTTCCCCTGCTGTGTTTTCTTGCTTACTTGCCCTTTTGCTTACACTGCATTGAGAAGGTGCCATTTCCCATGTGTAAGAAAACCACAGCCTTGTGTGCTCTGGCTGCTCCTCTCCCTGGGCAGTGATAGTAGGAGTCAATGAGAACACCAGGACCCTTCCATTGGTTGGGGGACAGAGCAAGTGGCAAAAATGGCATTTTGCCTATATGGAAACTGCAGGATCAGGACAGGTCTGCAGAGGGAGCTCCCAATTTAGAGTCAGGAGGGGAAGTGCTTGCTGGTCTTTCTAACACAACTGCCAAGCTATGTGATACACATAGCAACTACTCTTATTGTTGATAACCCCATGTCTTTTTATTACAGAGTATTATTGGCATATGAAGCACTATGTCAAACAAATAACATTGCCCCACTTTCAGCAAAAAACCACCAGTGTCAGAGGAAGGAGAACTGACCAAGGCCAGAGTAACATAAAACACTCAAGATGGAAGGCTTTCCAATGTAGACAGATTTTCAGCAGATTTCTGAATGAAACAGCTCTAGTTTTAATGAGAGAGACACTATTCTACTACAATACACAGTGTGTTTTGAAAGAAGGCATTATACAATGACTAGACAAAGGACTGACCAGAAACAAATGGCTACCATTCAAGACACATCAGGGCAGATGGAGCTAGGAAAGTGTTACCCATGCCTCTGGACAAAATTCTGCATATGAACCAGTTTGTGCTTGTTTCCTGTGTGTTGTGTCCTGCGTGTGTGCACATGTTCAATGACTGCAAGATGAAGAAAAGGACCTGCTTTTCAGAGGTCTCTCAGAACACATCCCCTTTGGTGAACACTACTAAGTCACATAGGATCCTTTGCAGTGTCACTGCTCAGGTCTGTGAACCTCTGCTTGCACAGTGCTCCTATCCTTGCCTTTTACTACTGACAGCTTTCATAGATGTTGGGAAAAGAGGCCCTGACTTTCCTCACTATGGAGATTTGTTTCAGGGCACCTGGATGCTGCAGATACCAAGGGAGTGAGGGGATATAGTGACCTTCACAGATACACTGGTACGTTGTCAAGCTTTTTTCAATCAGCAGGTCAGTAACATGCTGGGCTGGAGTAGCAGAGTGGCTCAAGTAGCCAGTACTTTTTGGATATTACTTGTATGGTCTTTAGATGTCAGCCAGAGTCTAAATAACCTTTGTGGCAAACAGCCTGTGACTGATGCCTAATTAGGGAAGCTTCTGCAAAGCTAACTGCTGCCCTATAGACTTAACCTCCTCATCAGGTACTATGGAATACTTTAGTTTCGTTACATGGAATGCTTACTTAAGTTTCTATCTGGCCAAGCCTGGCAGTTGCCATGCTGATGCAGTGCACAGGCTGAATATAAATGGGGAAGAGGAATTGGGTGACCACTGTACATCTTGAATGATGCCACAGACAGTATTTATTTATGGTTGTGGAGATGCTAGTGTATGGACACCCATCTGGTACAGTACAACCTGGACATCTGTAACAAAACCAGGTCAGATAAAGTGTCTATTACAGTGTCTTGGAGATAAGATATTATTCCAAACTAACAAGCCATTAGGGATCACAGATCTGTTTATATTAGGGGATTGGGATTCACCTTTTGAGCTGCTGGAGCTGTACTGTGTTTTCTTTTAGGACCAAGAGATACTCACAGAAACCAGCCTGTGATGATTGTGACAATCATCATTTGTACTTGGATCCCCTCCCCTTGTTTTGGTCTCCAAGTCAAGGACTAGTGTGTGCCTGGACGCAGGATTTGAAGGAAATAACAGCAGATTGCTAAAAATCTATGTTGGTAGTGGGGTGGATAGAAGCTAAATATGCAGCTGATTAATCTCAGATGTCTGATGAGGGCTTTTATCTGTTACCTGGTGTTAGTTTGCAGAAGATCAGGAGAAGCTCTCCAAATAGTTTCATTCTATCAAAATTGATGTTGTGAGCAGCTCTGTCCACTCTGCATCCAGATATATGTCTGTTGCATGGAGAGCACTGTGAGGTCAAGCGGTGGTTGACATTCAGAGCTGTTCTGCTTCTTGCTGCAGCTGTGCTCCAGACGAGATACTGAAGGTAGCAGAAATCCCAAGGATTTGCTGCAGGTGAAGTTGGCAGTGCACTGTGGCCAGACAGGGTTGTCAGGGCAGCTGCTTGGTGCCCTTGCCATATGCAGACTCTCATTTTGGTTGGGAGAACAGAGTTTGTAACCACTCTGTAGCCTATAGCTACTGCCAAAGCCACTTCATGGCATTCTGTGTCTGACTCCATTTAGGCACCCAAATCCATAGGAGTTTGTCTGCTAAGGACCTGTGTGGATGGTGGCGGAGCTGAAGGCCAGGCTCAGCTGAGCTAATTTTTGTGTGTAGGCAGTACTTGCTCAGCATGGACAGGAAGCCCTGCAAGGTGCAGTTCTGCTCATCTAGCAGGGCCCTGTTCTGGCCGCACAGCTTTGGGGTGCTGCCGCCCACAGTTTCATCTTACTGCAGAGGTTAAGCTGGACACTGGAGACCAAGCCTCTGCATAGCTGAAAGCAACAAGAAGGCTTACAGGGATGGATGCTGGGTTGTGCTGGTTTACTCTTTCTCCCCACACCCTCTTGACTCCACACACACATTCTAGCCTCCCCCTGTGGAGTGACAGTCTCCTGTCTTGCTGTCCATGCAGTGTACAGCACAACATTTCATGCATGGTCCAGGTACTGAGGTTCCAGTACTTCTTCTGGGTCTGGGAATCGAGGGTTGCATAGGGGTAACAGGGTTTTCACCTTCCCTCTGCCTCTGGACTTTGAGTTTCAGCTCAGCTGTTGCTTTCAGGTATAGCTCAGGATGTGCACAGGGCAGAGTGGTTGGAGGTACAAGATAGACAACCAAAATTGTCATGCAGGCATGGCCCCTGTAGGAATGTTCTGGCATTGCTGCAAATATGTCTTGGAGATGCAGCACTAAGCATACCACACAGCGTAGCCGAGGGACAGATGTAGACAAAGAAAAGGGAAGTGAAAGCTCCAGTTCTGCCCTCTCTGACGCAGGTTGCAGACACAGCTTTGCTCTATCCCACCTTTGGGGATTTAGAGTAGGAAGGATCTTTGAATCCATCTCACAGTAGCTGAGAGGGACCTTTGGTCAAAAATCCCCAGCACAAATCAGCCTTTCAGTCTGCTTCTATGCATGGAGACATGCACTACTTATTTTATTTTTTTCAGTTCTTTGAAGTTCCCTCCTCACACTTAGGACTAATCAAGGCAGGAATGGGGCAGTTAGTGCTATGTATCCTAATGCACAGTGTGCTTCTGATCAGAGATTTATTTATTCCCCATGGAGATCTGTAGTGGGTAGGACAGAGAGACAGGAAAAAGATGAAAACTCAAAGGATCTGGCAAGAGATCATAAATTGGACAGCAGGCCACCAAAGCCTGGGGGACTGAATCTGTAAGGGAGCAGAAGAGATCACCAGCTGGGACTTTTGGACTCAAACAGGAGGGAAAGGCAGGGAACGTGGGCTTGCTAGTCACTTCAGCAGCAGCATGAAGAGGGAGAGTGGGGGCTGCAGGGATATGTCACACTCACTCTCTGAGCTGTTTGAGTTGAGGAAGTTGTCCGTGGCTGAGTTTCCTTTCCCTCTCTGAGCTATTGAAACAGGAAGCTGGTGAGCCGAAGCTGGCTGATCGTTACACACAGACACACAGGCAGCTCTGGCAGCTCCTGTGCTGGCATTCAGGTTTCTTCCAGCTCCAGCAATGGATCAGTGCTGGTACCACGGCAACATCACTCGCTCCAGAGCTGAAGACCTGCTCTCCAAAGTAGGCAAGGACGGTAGCTTCCTTGTGCGGGCCAGTGAGTCAATTCCTTCAGCATATGCACTCTGCGTGCTGTAAGTACAGCGTTCACCGCGCCCTCAGCCCACGCTGCTGTCCCTGCTGGGCAGGGGTCACTCCTGTCTCCTGCCCAGCACAGGGGCAAACAGGTGCTGTGCTCACTGGGAATGTGCAGCCCTCCTCAGAGCACTGCTGGTTTCACCAGACTGGGCCAATGGGGTGGGGAAAGGTTAGGAGCCAGGCTGAATAAACCCATAGTTTATATACTGCTGTACTGCTCATGCTGCTCTTGCCCCTGATTCAAAAGAAGAGAATGGGCAAAGGCACTGCTGAGGTGCTCTGAGAGAAAGTAACCTCTTGAACTTGGGTCAAATATTTGTCTTTAGTGACCTCAGTCCTGAGCCTGGGACCTCCCAGGCACTTTTTTTGCTCTGGTTCAGTGTGTGTTTGAGCTCCCTGCTTGTACTGTGTTGCATTCAGCAAAAGGCTTGAAATAGTTCCTGGAGCTGTGCATAGTATAGTCAGGAAAGCAGTGATTCCACCTGCGTCATTAATGTGGGTCGTGGAGTAAACGTTTCATGTGGGGAATAGGGAGAGAAGTGCTGGCAGCCCTGATCCCCTC